TCTTTCCTTAGCTCCCCATCATCTCCCAGCATGTTTCACAAATCCTGCTCTGTAAGGGCTTCCTCCACCTCCACTGGGGTAGAGAGGGCACTTCTATCGCAGGAACTCTGCAGCCACCACCAGCCTTTAAGCCTCCTCAACATCCTCCCCCTTTGCCAGTGGTTCCCTCCAGATGCTCAGTATCTAGCTCTGCCATCTTACTGATCCTTCTCCTGGCTGCCAGGGGATCATCTTCTGTGAGGGGGAATTATAGGGCCAAGGGGAGGTTAGAGAGCACAGGAGTGAGGAGTGTAAAACCACCAAATATGGGGTTGCATGGCAGGAGGACAGAGGAAAGCCTTGGGGCTGTGCCAGAGGTTTTGGCATGGCAGAAGTGCAGGAGCCCTCAGTGACCAGACTTGTGGAAAGCTAAAGCAGGAGTGTAATGCTGGGGGAACAGCAGCACAGAGTTCAGTAACAGTCAAATATTAACTCACAGTGAGGCACTGCTAATATTCCTCAAGGGGATTTTCACTTCAGGCAAGGTAGTTCATTCAACATTTACCTTGAAAGAGATGTAAGAAGGTCTGAGAATGAGCCTCAGGAACACTGTTCCCTTCAGCCCTTTAGAAAGCCCGCTTAATATTCCGAAAAGCCACCCTAATCCTATCAGCAGTAATGCTGGAGAGACAGTAAGCCAGCTCTTCCCAGTACAGCAGAAATAACACTGCAGTGCACGGAATAATTCTGGTTTGACCTGAACTTCTGTTCCATTACATGTTAGTCATTTTTTGCTACACATTTCTAAACTTCAAGTGTCTTCTAAGTCGGTGGTGGTTTTACCCAGTACAGCACTGTTTGGGGACTGGGTCCATGTTAGCTGAGATGGATCCACCAACCAGAGGCCAGTGCTGGTGATTTGGATGTCAATACATTGATTTAAGCTGTTTGTTGTGTTCACGCTCTGTGTAATTAATGTAGATGGAGAAATTCATGTCCCTTCTGAGCACCATCCACAGCCATCACATTAGTCTGTGAACACAGAGGTGTCAAGTGGACACACACCAGCTGTCATGGGCATATAGGCTGCATTTAACGAGGTGTGTAGCAACTTGCTAACTTCTTCAGTCAGCAGAAGTGCAGCAGGCCTTTCATATCTTGATATTGGCTTAAAATCCTCAGTAAGATGTCACTGTAATGGTGATCTCCCTAAACTGATAATTGTCCCTCCTGAATTTTGAAGAAAAAGGGATGTCTCCCCTGTCCACACCAGTAAAAATTTTGATAATCAAGGTAACAAAACCTGCAGTCCTTTTACCCCTTCCTGCCCAAGCCCTTTATACCGGCAGCTGGTTACATCCGCAGCAGGTCCTATCTCCGAGAGAAATCTATGGTAAGAAGAAGCTGAGGGGAGGAATAGTCCTAAATAACTCCCCATTGCTTCAGCCTTTGAAAGGACAGTAGAAGGGGAATGAAATGAACTTTGGGGTGCTCCATCAACCCCACCAGTGCTGGGAGGTCCTAGGGTACTCCTGCCCTGCAACAGCTTCCCCGAGGTGAAATAGGAGCAATATGCCTGGCTGGAGTCAGTGTTATAGAACCTCATTTATTTCAGTTCTAGATGCTTATCTTTTTGCCTTCATCCGAACGCAGCAATCAGAGCATGAAATGCTCACTGTCATATTCAGCACAAAGCCCAGCCTGCACTTTAAATCTCTCTCTCTTCCCCTCAGTGCTTCTTGGTATGGACAAGAAATCAGAGTCGACAAAGGAGTTAACCCCAAATGCAAGACTTACAGGTTCCAACAAATTTGAAAAACTCTTTTTCCTTCTCTTTTCTCCCTCTGGCAAGGATTTTTCTTGTCACACTGCACATCCAGCCTTCCTGGAGTCCACAGGTAATGTTCATCTGCCACAGTGATGGGCTCAGACTCTTGGGGGCACAGTCACACTATCTATAAACAAAAAAATTCCTAGCTGCTATAATCATGTTTTCAGCAATGAGTAATATGTTCTGAAAAAAATGCCTAAGGAAGCTGCTAGAGTATGGTGAAGGTGGCTATAAACTATTCTTCTGAGATCAGTTGGTCAAAATATCAACCAAACAGTTACTAAAATATTCCTTACAATTTTCTTTGCCTTCTTAAGTGATCTTAGTCATACAAAAATAACCACACTGTTAGGAAGTATTGTGAGGGAAGAATTCAAACTCTCCTCTCCAACACACACTCCACTGGGACTCCATTACAATTTTGACAAGCTTGTGTCAAGAAATTATATGCCTCTGACTAAAAATTAGTTATTTAAGAGAGCTACTAAAAAATTGGGATCTCTCTCTTTAAACATTTGACCCTGAGGCAGAAGAGGAGGGGAAGGAGAGAGAAGGAGAGAGAATATCATAATCTCTTTAGATAACAACCTGACTCATGGTAATAGTAACCTAATTGCTATCCAAGTGCTTTCAGCAGGAAACAAGCATACATAGAGGGGCACCTGTGCAGAGGAAGATTAGTTTTAAATGGAAGACGGACAGAGATATAAATGCATTTTCATCTGAGTATAGCGGAAAGTAAGAAAAAGTTGTTTGTTTATGTAAAAACTGCCTTAAGTCCAGGACCTGCTTCATATAATGGGATGTGGCTGGTATGTAATTCATGTGAGAAACAGGTACACTACAGGGCTCAGAATGAAATGGGCATTTGTATTTAAGTAGGGAAAAGAAAATAACCACATGTGGGGAAAAAGTGTTTGATGCTCTCTGTCCAAAATAAATCAGCTGCAATGATTATGACCCTTCTATGAATAAAATTCATAATGTCAGTCTGGTAATACAAAATACGACCTTTACTTGAAAGTCAGTGTGACTGTAGTAAGTGATTTGCTTGGAAGAAAGCTGCATGAGAAAGGAATGGTCTGTAGTTGGTTGATAAGTATCAAACATGCCCTTTATATGCATGAGCCATGCTTTTGTACGTTTATGATTTGTTGTTCTTCTCTACTGCTCCGTTCTCTGAGCACTTGAGCCCCCAGCTCTGGTTGCAGCCCCCCTGACACAGCAGCTGTTGGGCCCAGCAAGCAAGAAGAGGTCTGGGCAGAGCTCTCAGCCTCTGTTCTCCAGCTGCCCTCGCTACTTCCTACAGCAGTTCTGAGAATGGGGCCGTGGTGACCAGGTGCTACCCACAGGTCTTGCGGGGAAATGAAGATCTGTATTTCTGAGTAAGAGATGATAAAAAGGTGCTTTGTTTGCACAGGACACGGTCTGTGGAGCGGGGAGAGTTGAGTATAAGAATCGATTATGTTCTCTGATGAAGGAGTCAGGCCTTTCAGCAAGGGTATTGATTTATGCATTCAACTCTGCAAGTTGCTTTCCAGTACATCTTTTGCTACTAAAACTCGGTGATGTGAATGTCAATAGGCATGAACAAAAGCCCCACGTTTTGAAAAGCCTGGATATGTATCTGTAGGACATAAAAACTATTACATTTCTTTACTTTTGCTGTCCTTTGCAAGACATTTTCATAGATTGCTGGTAATAGATTTTGCATGCAGTACCCCTGTCTGTGTCTATGCTTTACCATGAATGCTATTTTGTCTTAAAAATAACCTTTTTTTTCCTATTTGTAAATAGCATTTGATCACAGTCCAGAAATATTTTATGCCAGAAATTATCTATCTTGAATTGCTGAATAATAGTATTTTCGTAGGCTGCTATGGCAAGAGATGTACACTCTCTGGGTTCAAGCATCGAAGGTTCTTATGGCAACTGTTTTTTGGATACCTTCACAACTAGGAAACCATGCTAAGCCATCCCAGTAATCTCTGGAAAGACAGCAGAATAGAATAAACTGACATGTTTACCATCTTATATTTGTTTTTAAAATATACATAAAAGCATGCCTTACAGAAAAAAAAAAAAAAAAAAAGAAAAAAAATATGCACAAAGGCCAAAACAACACTGTGGAAAAAAAGGAAACAATAACATGAGAACATTTTATGAATATTTAGTATAAATTAGTATTTTGTTATACTCATACTTAAACTTCAACCAGTGATGGATTGGCATTGTCAATATGTTATACATCATACCGACTCAGAATAGGTACCAATCCTTGCCACAGGGCATCTCTGGGTACTGGGTTTTTTCTTCTTTTTTAAGACTTGGTGAAATTTTACAAAATAAGACCTCCTATTATAGATTCATCAGGTTCAAATGACCTTGACCTATAATACACAGCAGTAATCCTAACGAAATAAATGGTCAGCCATGCTGTTAAACACCCCATTTCAGCTTCCCTTCTGCATTCCAAGGTGCCGTTTGCATTAATCCAACAGACTTTATTATCACCACTGTCCCCACACGACCCTTCCACAGCTGCAAGTCTGTAAGTAGCTAGTGAAGGTGGTGTCTGCCTGTGATCACAGATCTCCAGTGTTCATTGTCAGGTTTCAGGTCAGTGCAAACCATACATGTACACTCCTGATGATGATTTCTGTTTGGAAACACAGCCTGTTTTAAAAAAACATAGCTTCAAAAAAAAGGGATGGTAATTCTTGAACAGGAAGACGTCAGTTAAATATTTAGGGTTAGCATAGAAGAAACCATAAAGTGTCTATCCCTTAATATCTTCAAGAACAAATTATAAAAACTTCTGTGAGGGATGTCATAAGTAATGACATTTGGGGGAGGGAGATGAATTAAATGACATCCTAAATTCTGTATTTCTGTGGCTCTGTCATCACTGTGCTTGCCCTTACTTGAGTGCAAGCCTTCACAAGCAGAGACCCAGGGGTAGATTAGCAGATGCCAGAGAGAGGAGGTTTGAAATGATATATCAAGCATGTAGGGAAGAAAACAAACACCTGAGCACCTGGAAGAGTGTCATATGCTCTTAGTCATTTTTCCATGAAATCTTTTTAATGTCTGAGGGTTACTCATGAACTTTTTATAAAAAAATAGTCATCTGGTCCACAATAGAGACTGCACAGTACAGACAGTTTTATTTATTTAATACGTACTGGAAGGTTTAATTTAAGTCATAGATGGTAAATGTGTTTTTATGAAGCAGAAAAGTGTCTTGAGAAACTAGAAATTGACTCTGCAGGACATAAAAACTTTCTAACGTCAGCCATTCAAACACTAAGGGTTAATGTGGCTATATTGGGAAATATGCAGAGTAGGTGTGCTCATTTCTGAGGATATCTTCTCACTGGCTATTTGTAGGAAGCGGCTGATAACAATGTCTTTGGCCTTCATGGTCTCCATATTCCTTTCCCGTGATATCTGCATGCTGATTTGATCCACATTAGCCATGATAAGCTCCGAGGCCAGGATCTGAGTGGGGGATGCCCTGTTTGCTGTGCTATCCATGATGTACTGCTTGTACAGTTCCACCAGCTTCTGCTCAAGGTAGTCGTTCAGGGCTGAGTCAGAGAGGGGCTGCTGGTGTGGCCCCAAGCTCGCCAGTCTCCAGCACGAGGAGTAGCCTTGGCCCGGCTTTCGGACGGTGTCGCTGGAGGGGGGGACCCTCACGGACTCCAAGGCGGGAGGAATCTCTGAGGACTCCAAGAAGGGGCCTATGCCACTGTCACAAGCAAAATCTGTCGTGACTGAGCTGATGGGCACCACGTAGTCCCCAGCTATATGCAAATCGTTGTAATTCTTGCAAATGCTTTTGCAGGAAGGTGGAACCAGGTAGGTGACTTTTTTCGTCAGCCCTTCGCAGGCACGTGTAGCTGGAGATGGCTGCCCTGTGGGCCCAGGGTGATGTGCAGGTTGTGGGAGATTATCCTTCTGCCTTCTGCTGTGCTTGCTACCTCTAGAGCAGACTGAGGAAATGCACTTGCCAGCAGATCTGCATCTCTGAAGGAAGCTTTTTCCTTGTGTTTCATCCGTGGGAGAATAATTAATGGATCTCATTTCATATACCACTTCATCAGCTGAAGTCTTACTGTAGAGCTCAGGGTTCAGGTCTCCACAAAGGTAGGTGATTCTGTAAAGATAACCTTCTGACAGCATCCTCCTCCAAAGTCAAGGAATCACCAGCAGACAGAAAAATGATAAGAAGAAGTTAATTACAAAAAGTTCATTATAAATTCACTGAATGGTGATTACACCCACAAGTCTGTTATAGCTGCAGAGAGATGTTCCCAATTTGGATGTGAACAAGAGTGTCTCTGTCTTTCCAGAGGATTTGAGTCAATGAGTGATTATCCTGTCTCCCTGTTGTGCTGTTAACTCAATCATATCAAAGGATATTCTGTATAACACAACATACGCCATGTCCAATGCATCCAATGACAAGTGACTTGTGGAGAGAAGGACAAGAAGTGCTTTGTTGTGGAATAGCTCCTGTAATAATTTACACTTAAATATGTCTGGTTTTGCCCTGGACTTCATTAAGAAGCCAAGGAGCTTCCCCCATTTTCTCATATGCTTTGAAGCAATTTTTGTTATGTGTGATTTGTCAGCTGCCTCTGAACTATATTGATTTGAGATTCATTTTGAGAGTATCACCCCTTCTGTTCCAGACTAATCAACAACTGTAGGTTTGGTTCCTTTTTCACTAAAAAATCTCAGACCATTAAATTTGCACTTTGCACTTCTGCATTGCAATCAGGATGGAATTAATTGTCTCTCACTTTTAGACATGAAAATGTCAGTGACAAAAGCAAAACCTTTCAGAGGCATGATTCATCCGGCCTGGTTTAGACACCTAAGTCAAAATGAGGTGAACTGTGCCCTAGATTTGCTTATCACCCTCCAGTTGCTGTAAAAGAATCTTAAACTGATCACCCTAGATGTAGAAATCTGCAGTGCACTTTTGAAGACATATTTCAGTGCAATGCATAGGAAAACGCACATTTCAGAGGTACTCCAGCTCTTTCACTGTGAGATTAGTCACACCACCAGCTCCGAAATCAGTTTCCATTACATTTCTGCAAAGGCACAGTAGGGTTCCAACAGTCTCTCCACTCTCTGAGCAGGTAGATCAGTTCGAAAAGCTGCTCAGACATGTTAGTAATTAAAGCCAAGACTTGCTAGCAAGGACACACATGCATCTGCGCAGTGAATGTTCTGCCCAAGCTTTAGCAGCTCCACTACCACTAAAACTGTTCTTAAGTCCACCTCTGTGTCTTTTTTTTTTCCATCATATGTCAAGGATACAATCAATGGGAAAGATGTCCTAAAGAAATTGTTTAGTCCAGCAAAGAGAAAGTAGATCTAAAGTGAAAATAAATTAAAATTAAAATTATTTTTTCTTTCTATAATACAAAATATCTTGTGTGATTGAGAAACAAATAGCTTGTCTTTGCTTTAATTGCAAATACTTTTCTTCATTTACTATTTAACCCAATTATTATCCTTAATGGATACTGCCTCTGTAGGAACGAAAAAATGTCCCAGTTATTTGACAATTTTCCTGTCTCTTTCAAAACTCCTGCTGTGGCGGAGTCCCAGAATGGGAACACCTTCCCACAAACTGTGAATGAAGAGGTGGCATCTCTCTGGCACATGCTGTACTATCCTCTGCTGCTGTCAATGGCTCAGTTTATCTTTTCCAAGAATGAATAATACTTAATAAAGTATTTAATGTATCACAGTTGCTAGTGCAGAATGTTCACTAATAATAATTGTTGTGCAAATCCTGTCTAAGCAAGGATATAGACTTTGCACAGATGTTAGGTAGGAGACAGTGTGAGAAAAGACTTTCCTTGGGACAGGGAATCACTTCCACTCCAAGAAGAAGAAGAAGAAGGTTGGAGGGAAAATAACTTTCCTTCAGACAGAAATATTAATGGGAATTAGATGTGTCCAAATACTTGCTTTGGTGACCATGGATCCTCTCTGATGCTGCCAGTTGTGTGAGATTTCCCACAGGTAGTAGCAATTAATGAAAAGTGATCTGCTTACACAAGAGAGGAAAGCATCGTGTTCGGGGCTTGGCACTCCTTGCAGTATGCTGCTGTTGTCTTGCTTTAGGTTTTAGCTCTAATTAAGGTGCCCCCTCAGAACTCTTAGCCAAATGCTAGAGCTACTCAGGTTATCAACTCATCTTCCTCTCTCTTCTGCTTCTGTTCATCTCTTTTGCAGTGCAAAGGCTGTTCCCTTCCCCCAGCCATCCATGGCCCAGATTTATTGCAAAGTCACCACTAACTTTGGCTGGCTTGAATCTGGAACTGTTACACATTTATGCTATTTTTAATGTGGATTCTGAGAAATGAGTGGAAATGTAACATGTGGCCTGTCCACTGCTCAACCAACAAAGGCAAAGACAGTTGTGTTCAGGTAGCACATGACACTTCAATCTTTCCTACTCCCCAGATGTGAGTCGTTTCTGCCATAAAGTGATGCATGAGGGAAACGAAACCTTTGGTTTCATTTCTTTGCATTCTGCTATACTTATTTTAAGAGTTTTGGAGCACACTGTCTGAGACAGGAGTGGAAACAAAAGAACTGGCAAATTCAAAAATATTAGCCTCCCATTGTGCTCAGGAGCTGCGTGTCCTGCTGAATGAGTTACAGGTTTACCCTTTAAAGTTGGCAAGGGCTATTGCACTAATCTGGTTATTCTACATGGAAATCTGATTGAAGTTTTCATAGGCAGTGTTGAGAGTCTGAATTTAATAGGGAGGTGCATATAACTCTGGTCTCTCTCATCCTAGTACTTAATATAATATATACCTCTGACAAGTTGTTATGCCATCACTCCGGCAGACATGCAATTGGATCACCTTTAATTTTTGCATTTTAAATCTGATAAGGATTGCAGGTTTCATTAATTCTGATTTCTCCTTCCTCTTCTCTTAATCCCCCTTCCGTGCCACAGACACACATATACACCAGGATTCCAAGAGCACAGAGATTATATCTAAAGTCTTTCAATATTTGGGTTTCACGCTTCTCAAATTCACATTTCACTTCCCTCTGCCTGAAAATAACTGCTTATCTTTTTGTTACAATTCTGATCTGACACATTTTGCATGTGAGGTGAACAGAGACATTTTCCTTGTGTGGCTACTGTCCTGGAAATGGGACCTGACTACATTCTATGTAAGCCTATTGGAGATAGAGGGAGAAGCCTGTCTGGTTTACGCTGTCTTTTCTATCTGACATAGTCTTTAGTACTGTCAGATGATCCTAAAAATTCATATGTCTTGCCTGGGGTTTTTGTTCAGTTCTCCAGCAGAAGAAAGCCTAAAGGTAGGATGAATGTTTAAAGTCACATGGAGAATCCAGTGGTATTGCCAGTGTGTGGCAGCAAATTTGCCAGGTCATAATTCTTGTAGATGGTGACAATGTTTGCATAAAGACCCCAGACTACAGTCTGAGAGCAGGAAAACAGAATGGGAGTTCTTGGCTCAGGATAAGCAAAATGCTTAAGGACAGCCTGAGAAGTGTATACAAATTGATATCATAAATTGTGTCCTATACAAAAACCTGGATATGACAAAAAGTTGCTATGGAAAACAGAAAGAACATTTGATCTCAGAACAGCTGGGATCACACTTCAGTGGGGAGGGAGACATTTTTTTGCATTGTGAAAAAAGGGGACGGAAACTCATAGAAGAAACAAGCTCATTTGGAATATGTCTGGCTTTCAGATCTCTGTGCACAGATCTGAGTGGCATTAAAGTTGTGCTGCTGGTGATTAGAGCTCCAGTCTTATCATAGGGTATACCTTGAGTTCTAATCGATTTATTACATGGGATTCCAGATGACAGTGTCCCTGTCTTGAAGGAACTCAAATCCTGTGGATCCATCTGTAATATTTTTTCCCTATTTTAAGACATGTTTTTCCAGGCTGTGGAGATACAGACAGATCCCTTCAGTGAGATTTGGGATCCACCTCAGAATGCCAGACATGGATGCAAGAGTCCCAGCAAGTAGAATAGTCTGGAGAGTAAATTTGCAAGTGTTGCAGGACCCATATCTCACCTTCCACTGGGGCTGCTGTGAAACAGCTCCCAGGAAGCCTCAGTGCAGCCAGCGTGGGGAAACCAGGATAGTGAAGGAGGGAGTATAATGAGCTGTGCATATGGATAAGCAGAACGTCTCCTTAATGCCCAAAACCAACAGATGTTTGTAATCTGAACCTCATTTGGCTTGGGTACAGGTAATGCTGATGACACTGTGGTGATGTGGACACATCAGAAGGAAGAGCCATTTTACAGAGAGACCTGGACAAGCTGAAAGAGCAAGCCAGCAATAACAGTATCAGGTTTAACAGAGACAAGTGCAAGTTCCTGCACTGTGATGACATAACCGAAGAGTCCAGCCCAGGCCAAGATCTGTGTGCCTGGGGAACAGCCTTGCTGAGAGGAACCTGGGGTCCCAGTGGACAGCAAGCCGAAAATGAGCCAGCTGTGCAACGGCAGCAAACCGAATCCTGGGCTGCACTGCTGACTGAGACAAAGGTATGATCATCCCACTCAGCATTTGTTAGGCTGCATCTGGAGTGTCCAATTCTGATTCCCAAAATTTAGGAATGTTGACAGACTGGGGAGCACCCAGTGGAGGGCCATGAAGATGATCAAAGGGCTGGAAAATCTGCCTTGTGAGGAAATATTGAAGGAGTTAGGACTCTTCTTCCTGAGGAAAATAAGACTGGGGGTAGGGGATAGCTCGTCATAGTATGCCAGTATTTGCAGCTGCAAAGATAGAGGCTCTCTCTTCACAAGCAGCAACATGGAGAAGACAAGTGGCAATAAGTACAAGTTACTATGGAATAGAGCCATAGAATCATTTAGATTGGAAAAGACCTCTAAGAGGTCTTTGGGTCCAACTATTAGCCTAGAACCACCATGTTCCCCACTAAACCATGTCCCTAAATGCCACATTCACTGTTTTTTTGAATGATTCCAGGAATAAGAAGAAAGAGGTTTCATCTCAATTTAAAAATTAAATTATTTTACTGTGAGAACTATGATTGGAATAATCTTCCCAGGGACATGGTGGAGCCCCCTTTACTGGAGGTTTTCAAGATGGGATTGGACAAGCTTTTGCATAATCTCATCCTTTCCAACATGGGCTGCTCTATGACTAAGATTCTACAGTAGTAGTGGCTGCTATTTGAGGTAGGAGTTGGCCCACTTTGCCCATGGCAGAAGAGAAGAGGAATAGCCAAGAGGTGGTTTTGCACAAGCATCCGAATGCTGCCCACTGGGTGTGTCACTTCCTCTCCCTGCTGCTGCTGCTCTGGAAGATCTAGGACCTGAAGGGCTGCACCATGAGGCTCTTTCAGCAGTGGTCATGAGCCAAATTCTTCTTGTCCCTGCCCACAGCTCTCTTCACTCTGATCTTTTGATCTTCCCATAGAAGAAAATACAAGCCCTGCTCATCTTCCTGATTCACGTGTCAACAGTTCAAGAGATGCAGGAAAGACAGGAGTACTTCTCCCATGTTTCAGTGGGAATGAGTATGTTTGAGAGAATAACAATCCTGTATTTCAAGAGTAGGAGGGAATCTCCCTGAAGGACAGGTTGAAGAAAGCAAGTGAGGAAAGACATCTTCCCCAAGAACACATTATACTTTATATGTCTATCGTATTGTTAAAGTTCTTGTTATACAGGTGTCTACCCATTTTTAATCATGCTAAATGGATGACAGTGAGTTTCTGGAGCAGCTGATTTCTTAGAAAAAAATACATTCTTAATGTATGCTTGAGTGCTATTGTGGAGTTTGGGGGGACATGCTTCCATAAAAATACAATGAAAACTGTATGCTGGTAAATACAGCTTTTTGAGCTCTCAAATAATTTCCCAACCAAGTCTGTTTCATCAGTTCAAGTTCCTTGAAAATTCACAAATACAAACCTTATTCATAATTTTCTACATTTTTCTTAATCATATATACCCACACAAATTAGGGTTAGGATCACATCAATCCAGTTGGATAACATTTTACGTCTCATATCTACAGCTGTAAGCAACAGCTTGAAATGTGAGGCTGGAAAGAATAAGGTTCCACATTCATAAGGAGGACTTGACTACATGGTATTTCTACACTGTGCTTTTATGTTTTTCTTCCTGAGGTGGAAATCATTTCATGTTTCTGGATGTCTGTGTTTATTTTAATGAGTTGTTAATTGTTATGACTGAACTACATGAACTACAGTATTTTGTATCTAAGCATTTGAAGTAAAGGGATAGTACATTCATGTGCACTCCTATAGAAGATAACACACTTTTGAGAATTGAAAAGAATAAACGGAAAAGAAAGAAAGACAGAAAAGACTGGAGATGTTTCCCAGGAGTGAGTGAAATGGTCCACAAACAGGCATTGAAATGTTAGTCAAATTTTCTGTAAAGCATAAAAAGGAAGGGAGAGGGTACATGATGTGCATGTACACCCATGTCAAACTGTGAATTTGCAGCAAACCAGGAAACTTGCTGTGAATCAGGAAAACACAATGATAAAGTTTTGTTGTTTATACTTTTTAACATCATCATGTTTTCAGAGATGTCTCAGCTTTTTTTCTATTATTTTTTTTTTAAATATGATGCCTATATTCATCTCTTGGTGCCTATTTTTATTTCTAACCTACAAATACCGTACTCCACTTTAAGGACTGTACTTAAATAGTACAGTAACATGTGCAGAAAGTTCAATAACAATACCATAAGCAACACATCTGGTAATACTCCCTTTAAAAATATTCAGAAAAACATTTTTAGTCTGATTTTGTGAAAGTCTTTAGAATTATCATAGGAACAATGGGTTTTTTTCATTTTGAAGTCACGTCGCAATCACAGTCGGTCATGGTTGTGAATATGGTACCTTTGAAGTGTTCTCATTACTTCTTAAGGCACCAGAAACTGCATGTGGACAGTGGCTGAGACTCTGCAAACTTAGGTGCATTCAAAACAGAAAAAACGCATCTTCATTTTACCCTCTACCAGCTGTCGTCCCACACAGACAGAAGTGAGCCACTTTGATAAGCAAGGGTAACATTGTCATACATTTGTATAATGCATAGTATATTTTAGTTCTTACCTCCAAAGACACAGTAGCTGACCAGGTACAGCAAATTTGATGTCTTCTAACTAGTTTGAAGCTTCCTGTGTGTCTGTCCTACCCCAAAATGCAATGTTCTGTTTTTATTTCCTTTTTAAATACACTTCTAAGATAACATCTGTTTTACTTCTAATCCTCTATAGCAAAGAAGTATAGAAAGAAAGTCCCTTAGGAGGTCAGGGGGTTTTATAACTTACTGAACTGCAACACACTAAACTTGCTTCCCCTTTTATGTCTAAATGAAACTTCCTTGTGAAACCGTGTACTGTTAAAATAGCTGATTGCAACACAATCCAGGCAGATGGACTGTTATATGAAAAAAACCCTGGTGAGTTGAACAGCCAGAACAATCTTAGAGAAACTGCTCATCTGTTGGTACCATACAGTGCACCCCATTTCGGTCACTATCCATCAATCTCCTTTTAGCTGAGGCAGAGAGACATCTTGACATGTCAGGATTGTCATGCCAAATGGGTTGGAAGAGTGAGGTGCCCAAGCAGAAATGTATTCCACAGCAGGCCTACTTTGCTCTCTGCAGACCCTGGTACATATAATTTTCCATCAAACAGCACAGCACAGACGCTTCATCAAGGTTTTATTTGGTGTGGGCAACTTGTCAGGAGGAAAGTTAGACCCAAAAGTTAGACCTTGTCTTTTTTAGGACTCAGTGCTTGCCATACCCAGGCAGGCAGCTTGTCTTATCAGGGGCAGTGGATGAAAATACCTGAGGCAAGCAGGAATTCATCCTCCAAGCTTGAGGTGTATGGGTAGTGAATATGGTTTTGAGGTTGATATTGGACTATTCCTTAAAGGGCAGAGGACAAGTACTGTCTGAAGCATGAAACTGGACTGTTTTAATTGATCCAAATGGAACATACAAAATTTGCTTAAGAAGGCATCATTAGGTGTCCATACATTGTAATAATAAGAGAAATACATAAGAAATACATTTTAATTCTCAGTAAATTTTAACTTCCACATTGAGGACCATTTGGTTTTTTTTCTCAGAACTCTCGAACTATGCCAGCCAGAAACCATACTTCTAAGAACATAATTTCCCTAAATAATCACTGTGATGCAATATATGATTCAGACTAGTATCAAAGTCTTTTCCAGAGTCTTCTTAGACATAGACATGGAAAAAGTACACGTGCCAACCTGGCCCTACCTACACATCCCTAGCTAATTCATACAAGAGTTTAATAGGTAATATTGTACCCAATCATACGCCATGCTAGGATCAACAGCAGCTAAAATGCATAAAAACTGTACAAAATTGGCAGTTTAATGCAAGTCTCAACAGATATCTTTGCTGAAAAAAATGATCCCTGTGGAAACAAAGCTACTGTAGTAGTAGACCAATTCTTTTTTGCTTAATATTAACATTAATATTAATATTAGTATACTTTTTTCCTTTAATCCTTCATTCTTACTATGGACCAATCTTGGGCTTGTCAGATTTATATTGGACTAACACTTTTTTTTGTTGTTTCCTTATCTGGATGAAATTGAAGGGAGCAAGAAATAAATCACTAGGAAGTTTTATCTCTTCTGTAGATCCAGAGATCTCTATAGTTACAGGAGATCAATATTTCTAGTTAGACTGTTGGGAAATAAATTTGGTAGTGTAAAAAAGAATTTCCATAAAGGTCCTTAGAGAGTTTTCAAAATATTTTTTTTAATCATCTAAATCCATGTAAAAACAGGAAGATACAAACAGACAGATATTTAAAGGAAAAAGTGCTTCCACAGCCAGAAAACTATAGGTATCCAGAATCACTGAAAAGTCGACCTACTTTTCTAGAGATACTTAAGTATGGATTTAAGACTTACCTTCAGGCAACTAGATTTGGAAAATATAAGTGGCCTTTTCCCCCCCCCCAGTCATGCACATGGAATGTTTACAGTTCTCTAGAGAACACCGTCTCTATTTCTGCACAGTAGCTTTATGTATCTGTGGAAGGGAGATGTAAACCTGTAATTTCTTGTCATATAAATTGCTCATTAACATCCTGACAGTCTGGGCTTTGGGAGCATTCATTTATTCTGGTGACCTTTTCCACATTCACTCCTGACCTTGGAAGACCTATCCTCAGCTAAGAATTGCTGTTCTATATGAATTTCTACCACGTGGCTTATAAACTGCTCTGGGTGTAGCACTCTGAGGGCCTGATCCAGAGCCGAGTGAGCTGGGAGATGATACAGCACAGCAGCACCTGACCCCTTTCACAGAGATGCCTACGTGTGCTGTGCCTCCTGCACCCAGTGGAATAGATGTAAGAGGAGAGGGAAATCTTCAGCACCTCAGGGAGTCTTTCGGTCAGTCTCTGCATCTGTAAATGTAGCTCAAATTTTTTGAGGCCATGGGAACTAATTTTTGTCAGTGTACTTCACTACTGCAAGCCCAATGCACCAAGACCGTGTATCCCTATCCCCTAAAGAGAAAAGAAAAACATTTCAAGTAAACTGTTTCCTTCTCTACCACATTCTTCTATTCACAGGGAATTTCCTCGAGGAAACTACTTTAATTTTGATCCCACATACATCTACCTCAGCTTCTTATTTCAGCTCAAGAGTTTATTTTCAAAACAAATGGGCCAGTTGTTTGCCCTCACTGTGCTTTGGTTTGCCGCTTGAAGCACATGAAAGAGACTCCTTTTGGATGAAACTCAGTGGGAGGACACACACCAGGACCATACCTGAAATTTGCCATGGCCAAATTTCCCCATGGACTTTCATGGAGCCACAGTGGAGCTGATCCAACATCACCTTCCCCCCCCCCATCCGGACCGTGCATCCTAGGGAGGTGGGGTTTCAGCAACTGCTGTTTCTCTGCCAGCATCTGCTCCAAAGATGGTGCACTATTTGCTGATGTAAGCAGAACAGAAAAATGCTGTCAAGGGACTCACCTCTAGGATAGTACCAGACAGTCCATCATTCTCAGAGTAACCCTTGCCCACCAACACCATTGAGCTCATGTGACTCAGAACATTGTAACTGATAAAACTGCACTGCCAGAAATAGAAGAGAAGGTTGAAGTTCCTCCTGTACAGCTACAAGGCTCAGAACAGAAGTTCAGAATAAATAAATCTCTGGCCTGTTTGGTCAAACAGTGCAAATGCTCATCACTTGCAGGCAAAATGTTTGTATTCTAGAAATTATAAATTGGAAGGTTTTGATAGGCAATATTCCATAGATTTTTGTTAAAATTAATAGTGGGAATAAGTGCAGAAAATAAATCTATTTTCCTGCACATATAATCAAACAGGTATGTACACCGTAAAGCTCTCTCATTATCAAACAATTTCAGCTCTATTCTCATTTGCTATGTCTATACCTTTAACCAGAAATGTTAAAATTCAAAAGGTTAACAATATCACTTTAAGATTATCACCTGGTTTATAATTACTTGGTGCAAAGGACAAAGGAGATATTTTTAAACCTTTTGATCTTTGGAAGGAAAAACTTTATGGGAAGGAGATAAGCATTATCTAGTACTTCATCATAAAGAACAATCATGAATGATTTATGTTCCTTGCAGCTGTAAAATCAGATATATTTCAAGCTTCCTATACTTGATTAGGGCTGAAAACCCAATTTTCAATGCATTTATTATGGCAGTATAATTAATTATTTAAGTAAACCAGCAGTATTTAAGCAGGGAAGAACCTCCATCATACACACTTTTCTTTCCTCTTCCTTCATTGCTGGTAGTAGAAAATAGATCTGCAAAAATTTCTAGGTAAAATATGAGGATTCCCATCTTCCAAATGGCAAGTCTTGTTTCAGGATATCTCAGGTTGAAGGGAGTCTTCTGGGTGAATTACTCCAGCCCTCCACCTGTTATATGGAAAAAAAGGTGGCTGTGACATCATACTCTCGGCCATGCACTTCCAAGGAGGAAAAAAAATGGTCATGGATGCACAGAGAGCCTTACCATTCTGGAAAAGGTGAGGGAGTTTTGGTGCCCACCTGTATTTACTGTCTCCAGCTTCCCATGACCACTGATGGCCCATGCAGCAATGGGAAGTCTGGCTGTCCTTGGCACCCAGAGCTTTAACTGCAGCAACTCAGGGGGCACAGTACCTTCCATGCAGTTAAATCCATCAAATTCTGCACTCAGAGTTTGATACTTCAGAATGAGGTAGTCATTTCATCACACAAAAGTGACCACTAAATCTTTTAGTTAACTACAGAGGCAAGGGTCATGGATTTCTTGATTTCTTGTTGCATTATAATATATCTTTTTGTACTTCAGTAAAATAGGGTACATTTGCTGCCTTATATGCTTCTTCTAGTCAATAAACCATACAATCTATTCCCGTGTTCAATTTTGTCTCTCTTTTGTGGATGACATAAATATTTAGTTATATACAGACATCTCTACAGGTTTGATCTATGTGAAAATCAAGAAAACAAAAGTAAGGCCTTTAGGAAAATTATAAGCAACACCATTGCACTCTCCAATAAAATCTCTAAGGTCAATGGGAGTTTTCTGTGGGAAAATACAGCAGTATTGGACATAGCATATGTTGTTCTTCATTATGTTCCCAGCATCAGTCTTTTCTAGTAATGAGTAGCCAGTTAATAAAGTCTTTTCAATTCGTGTTCTTTTCTTCTCTCACTAATTTACAAGAACTAGGAGACTGACCTTGTCACAGTTCAGAAACCTTTCCCTTCAGTCTTAGCCTTTCTTCATTCATAATCTTTTATTTACCTTTCGTGGTCAAATTATTCTGCCCATATTCTTTTCTTTTAATGGTCATAAATAATGCTGCACTGATGTATCCTGAACAAAGTACCTTATTGTCCAAGTGATCCCACTGGTGGTAGAGACTATATTGAGGTTTCCCTGCACAACCACACACGGGCACATAAGCCTATAAGCACTGTCAGTGCAGGAATCACGAGTGACCTGCAAAACATCAGAAGGCAGTGCTGGGCGGGCTGCCCTCTTTCCATTGTCAACATCTGGCCAAAAGCCAAAAACGTCTCTTTTTTCTTTTTTTTTTTTTTTTTTTTTTGGTCTTTTAACTATTACCATGATAACTTAAAAATGGGTGGGTTT